CTTACTCGGAGGTTCATGGGTAGTTTTAAGTGGGGTTTATAAGTAGGGTAACTATAGTTATAACCCATATTAGGGGACCTATAACCCTACTTATAACTACCCATGAACCTCCAAGTATGGCTTGGAGCCATGTTTTGGGTTGGGACTTGGCATTCAAAGTTTGAGGTCTAATGCAGTTATGGTGTGAGGTCTCTCGTACGATTCAAGGCTTTGGACCTGGGGTTTACTGGGCTGTAGCTTAAGTAAGGGCCCACCTAATGAGTATAGGATAGTACAAGCAGGTATCATCGGAAAGATCCACATGCACAACATACGTTAGTCCCAGCTTGCCACCTAGCTGTTCAGGAGGAAGCCGCAACCCTAACCATAAACCCTGAACATATAGTACTAAACCCTAAACCCTAAACGAGTACAGCACTGGTCGTTTTACAAGTGCAGCCGTCGATTGCGGGGTTCTTGACGGCATTAACAACGTAGATCCCTGATTCAAAAAACCAAGCCATTCCTGCTGCAGGCTGCGACAACTCTTGCCACTACGCTGCTGCTCTAGGGTTTAGGGTTATGTTTACTTCCGCCACTTGCAGCTGCTCCTCTGCTTTGCTGCTGTTCTTGTCCTTCTAGCGTAGTGGCCTACTAGACAAGGAATTGCGATGGCCGTCCAACTGTTTGCATGGACCTTGAAGTCAAAGAACAGGGTGTACTAACCAGCGGTCTAGAATATTGCTGAAAACCGGACAGGCCTGATTGTTTCACAACACTTTCACAGTCCGTTACTACCCCGAAACCCTTTCCGATCTCAACTGAACCAAGCGAAGCAGCAGAACAGCGCTGAACCCTAAACCCTAAACTGTTGAACCCTGAGCCTTACACACGAAACCTCAAGCGCTACTCTTCGGAGATCCACGGCGGGATGCAGGGAACCGAAATTCCCGGGGCCCTCACCGAGTTGCCCATGGCGACGAGTGAAAGGAGCAGGCAGAGATTCGGTCAGAACCCCTTTAGGGTTTACGGGGCCTTAAGGATCCTAAACCCTCAACCCTAAACCCTAAACCCTAAACCCTAAACCCTAAACCCCTAAACCCTACAGTCTTAGGGTTGGGGCTTATGCTTACGATGCAATTCGCAACTTGTCTTTGGACGTGGGGACACCTTAGATTAAAGAGAGCCTCAACATTGAATAGAGGCCCCTCCTTCGAGAGGTTTAGGGATCTTCCTACCCTAAACCCTATAAACCCTATACCCTGAACCCTACCCTCAATCCTACACCCGAATGCTGCAGGGCTTAGGGCCTTGAGGACCGCTGGCTCCACGAGAGTCGGATGAAGCTTCGAACTCCGTGGGAGTTGATATCTGGGCCTTGGGTTTACATAGGGGCTTAGGGTTTGGGCTTGAGGGGTTTAGGGTTTAGGGTTGAAATCTCTAGGGTTTGGGGTTGCTCGCTGAAGTTAGTGTTGTTTCTTTTCCCTGTCTCTCTCTCTCTCTCTCTTGAATCTTGGTCTAGACTGCTGTCAGAATGCAGTCGGTGCCGGGCTCACTTTAAGGCCTTATCGTGCTCAGGGCACACGACCTCTAAACGGTAATTTACTTACCCAAGCCCTCACATCTGAAAATTTAAAACCGGAAAAACAAAATTGAAACGTTCTCCAGTCTCCGGCCTCAAACCCTGAGCGCTCAACCCAAGGCCCTACACCCTCAACCCTGAGCCCTAAACCCTACAAGCCCGAAGCCCAAAACCCTAAACCCTAAACCCTAAAACCCTAAACCCTAAAGCCCTAAACCCTAAACCCGAAACCCTAGCTTTACTTGGGCTAGTCTGCGCCGTGTGTTCACATGTGCTCAGATCCAAGGGGCCAGGACGCGTCGCGGAATTTCAAGCTTTCCGAGCCCTAAAGCCTAAACTAACAGAATAGGACCCCTAAACCCCAAGGGTTTCCAGCACCCCCCCCCCCGCCCAAGGACCCTTTAATAGAGCCCTTATGGTTCTTGATAGTGGGTATTTAGGGCATATTAGAGGGTAGTTGGGGGGTGCTGGTTGAGGCTGAGGTTGAGGGTTAAGGGGTTTCGGGATTAGGGATCAAGGCTGGGGTCCCAAACCCAAATTTTAGGGGTTAGGGTTTAGGGTTTAGGGTTTAGGGTTTAGGGTTTAGGGTTCAAAAAGCCCTAATGGGTTGTGGTATAAGGGGGTTCCGAAATCCTGCTAGGGTTCCAGCAGGGTTTACTGGGAAGTTCATGGGTAGTGATACGTAGGGTTATAAATCCCACAATACGGGTTATAACTATGGTTACCCTACTTATAACCACCTTTATAAGTACCCGTGAACCTCCAAGTAGGCTTGATAGAGTTTAGGCCTCATCACTAAGTCCTCAGGATTGGAGGGTTCAGGGAGTTGGATCGGGTATCGGACTGTGGCAATACTGTTGATGATATCAATCCTGCATTACCTTAAGGACCCTAAACTATGGGAGTTATGGTATATTCCTTGTTATGCAGGATTTACATCATCAGCCGTAGTACTGTTTATTCGGCAAGCGGTCCGGTACCAGGACTCTCGAACTAAAACCTACATACAAATCCCATGCTCCAAACCCTTAGGCTTCACTTGTCATAGAGAGGGTTTAGGGTTTAGGGTTTAGGGTTTCAGAACCACCTCAGGAGCCATTTTCAACCCGAAACTCTCTCAGCCGCAGACTGTCCAGCAGAAACATAGGACTTGAGCCTGATCCTAAGCCCCGAACTCCCTACACCGTAAGCTGAAACAGAAACTTGACCTCAGACCCTAAACTCCCTCCGCCTAGCAGATCATTCATGGTCCTTCAGGTGATTTAGGGTTTAGGGTTGGGGGTTTAGGGTTTAGGGTTCGGGGTTTAGGGTTTAGGGTTCGGGATTTAGGGTTGATACAAACAAAATGCTTCTCCCTAAAACCTTTGCTTCGAGCCCTTCCCGTCGCCTTCTGTAAACCCTACGTCTTCGAACCTAAAGCTTCAACCCTAGTTCAACCAAGCATTCTGCCTCTACCAAAACTCTATTGAACCCTTTGATTCCTAGTGACGCCCCTAAAGCAAGCCTTCAGGCCACCAACAACCACATCGTCGGTGAGGAGGTGGCCCATGACTTTCAGGCCATCCGCGAAGGCGATGCTGCGTGGGGAAGAGGCGTAGCAAGTTACGGGTTGAAGGGTTTTGGGGCGGTCATGAAAGGCAGAGTTTAATACACAAAGGTTATATAGGGTCCCTATAAATCCCATATTTGGGTTCATGAAGAACCGATAAAAGTAGATTTTGGTAGGTTTTGGTAGGTTAAGGTAGGGTGAACAGGGGATGACAAGGGTATTCCGTATTGAATTGGTTAGAGACTTCCTGTTTCTTTGTTGGGTCGCGCATTGCCGTGCAGGGGCTGCGCCGTAAAGAGTTTGGGGCTTCGGGATTGATCTTCCAAGTTGGAAAGCACCCTGAAACCTAAACCCTAAAACGAGCATACCTCCGATCTTGCTTTGTCCCGTCCCCCTCCCTTCTACCTCTGACTTCGTAGGTCCTTTGCAGATGTCCACGTACGCGCACAAACTAACGATTTGCCTCTTCATGCACCTGCACGCATATGGGTATGCATGTGCATATGTTCAGAGAGAGACAGAGAGAGAGAAAGAGAGAGAGAGAGAGAGATATATATATATATATATATGTATAGATAGATAGATAGATAGATAGATAGATAGATAGAGAGGCAGAGGCAGAGACAGAGACACCAGACGGAAGACAGAGAGACAGAGAAGAGAGAGCGACAAAAACAACAAATGGAAGCCAGACCTCGCACTCACTGCAACTGTGCCACAAGAAGTACACCTCTGCAGACAGGGACACCGACGGCGCAGGGCGTAAAGATTTTGGTGCAACCAGCAGGCGTGGTCTGTACATCGCTGTCTCTTGCAGCACCGCTGGGTACAAGAGCCCGGAGGGTGCCACCGGCAGCATATCGCAACTGGTGCGACCCTAGCCAGAGCAGCCATGAGACGAACTTGTTTAAGAGCGTCGGCCCTGTACAAAGCAGATTATTTTCTTGCCATCGATCTCGACAGTCTCCCTTAAGCTCCGCAAGGATCCGGGGGCGCAGAGAAGGATACCTTGAAGGGCATCGCACAGTCAAAGCCTCTGCGGCGTCGACCTTCAAGGGCCAATTGACATGGGCCTTCATGCGTTCTCTATGCGTTCCATCCCAGGGATATATGAAAAAAGAGCGACATCATCTCGGCATTCTGCAGCAGCCAGTGCTGCGGTACGAGCTTCAGCCTCAGCGTTTTCCAGCGAACGCTTCCGCACCTCTCCGTGGCGCCTTCATCCTTGACAGAGCCCCGAGGCCACACGAGGCGGTACCACGAGTCTCCAAGAAAATTTGGGCCATGGAGAAGTGAAGTCGCGACGTTCATGTCGAAGTTGTCAAGGTCTCAGATTGCCTTTTTCGTCCATCACCTTTAGGGTCTAAACCCTGAACCCTAAACCCTAAACTGACTGTGGTGGAGGTCTGAGGGACCCAAGATCGAAATGTTGAGTGCCGGCTTAGAGGCCAGGATGTCTTGGAAAGGTTTGGGGTTTAGGGTTCAGGGGCGTCTACCGTGCAACACAGCATGGCAAAAATCCGACGCTACAAGACGCGTTCATCACTATACATTATGTTTATCCCGTTCTTCTTCTTTCCTTTCCGCACGAAGGCAACGGGCCAAAGTCAGCCCAAAGCGCTCAGGATATGTAGCTGCACTACCCACTCCTTCCCAAAATCTTCATACTAGACCCGAACCCCTAAAGCATGGGAAGGGGTGCCTCGTGGTTTGATAGGTGTGCAGCGCCTTCGCAGCACTTCGCTGCATGAGTGCCCTTCAGCCCCTACACTTGCTGCTTTTCGTGGGTAAACCAAATGCTATACAGTTTTTGGTTTTTACCGGACGAGGCCAATTTACAGGGCCTAAACCCCAACCCCCCCTTCGTTCCGTCCGGTGCCTGCGGAACTCTTAGGACGGACGAAGGAGTTGGTAGCCCTCCTGGGTGCATTTTGGACTTCTTTCGGGTGTAGGGTATAGGATTCAGGGCGTCGGGTCTAGAGTAAGATCTTCTTGGGTGACGCGTAGTTAGTGTGATTACTACGTTAGGTTTAAGGGTGTTTTGTCCCCAACAACAGATGCAGCCCGTAGTTCTAGCCCTAAGCCGTCAGCGTGTAGCCGTAAATTTGAACCCTGCAGCCTGCAACAGTCAACCCTAAACCCTGTCCTCACACTTGCACCCTTGTCTCTAAACCCTAAACCCTACACCCTAAACCCTAAACCCTAAACCCCTTGTCTAAGCCCCTCATATCTGTACATTACATTCTCAGCTCTATCGCTGCACCCTCAACCCAAAAACCCTACGCCCCAAAGAAGGAGGCTTTGAAACTGTAAATCCCCTGGGCCCAACATGAAAATAGCATTTCAAAACCCCTATAGACACCTTAGTAATCCTATAGTAGCTTGCTAGTTACAGTTATTAGCCCTACAGAACCGGATTTGTTCAGGCCTTTTTGGCCAACAATGGAGGTCCAGCATGCCCCTAGATGCTAAATCCTAAATTCTAAACTTTCTAAACCCTAAGCCCTAAACCCGAAACCTCAAAGCTAAACCCTACACCCTACGCCCTAAATCATCAACCGTAAACAACACCCTGAGCCCGCAAACCTCAACCTTCATAGTCCCTACGCCCTCAACCCTAAACCCAAAGCCCTATACCCTCAACTCTAAAAACCCTGCACCTACAAAAGTATTGTTTGGCGCACCAGCCGACGGAACACATTCAAGTGGGCCCAAAACTGAATCTGAGGTCAGTATTCTGTGAGCCGACATGAGCACACCCAATTGTGCAATCAGACGATGGCTCGATTGGATCAACGAATCGACAATGGCTTTCACGCCAAATCGTTGAGCACAAAGGTTTCTCAAAAACCCCGAGGTGAACCCCTTCATGGCCAAATCTCCAGCCGCACAGCTAGAAGCATCCGACATCACGCGTTACGTAGATCAATGAAACGAACCCACTTGGGCAACAAAGGCTTGATCCCATAGGTTTAGGGTTTAGGGTTTAGGGCTTTAGGGCTTTAGGGTTTGGGGATTTAGGGCTTTAGGGCTTTAGGGCTTTAGGGCTTTAGGGTTTAGGGTTTAGGGCTTTAGGGTTTTAGGGTTTAGGGTTTAGGGTTTAGAGTTTAGGGTTTCAAGGTAAGTTTAGGGTTTAGGGATTTAGGGACCCTAAACCCTAAACCCTAAACCCTAAACCCTAAACCCTAATTTTTGACCAACACTGGAGGTCTGAGAGCGATGCCACCCCTGCAACGTCCAGGAGCTTTGAGCCCTCGAAAGGCATCTGCTCCTCAAGATATTGGGTTTTGCAAGGGTTTAGGGCTTATAGGGTCTATAGACCCTAAACCCTAAACCCTAAACCCTAAACCCTAAACCGTTTATAGGGCTTATCGGGTTTAGGGTTTAAGGGATTATGTTTTTGGTGTTCAGGGCATAGGTGTTGGGGTCCTCACCGCTGGGTTAAGTGGAGAGTTTAGAGTTTAGGGATGTTGAGGGTTTAGGGTTGGGGGTGGGGAGTTTAGGGTTTGAATTTGGGGTCCTCGCCATTAGGTTTAGGGTGAGCGTTTGCGGGATTTGGGCAATTTAAAATCTAGGATGTGGGGCTCTGGGCTTAGATTCTTGAGGTTCAAGGCTTTCCGTTTCTGGGCTCAGGACTTCGGGTTGGGGGTCTAGGCTTTTTATAGGCCAAGCCCTGAACTCTAACAATGCCCTCAGTCCTGACCAGGTCGCTCCCCAAGAACAACGAGAAGCCACCTCGGAACCGCGAGGACTCGCGCGAAAGGCTTAACTTATGGCTTGAGTCTCGGTTCCTGGCTTTTTTTAAAGGGTTCTACACAAAGGCTCGAAAAAGAATTTTGACAGGGTTCTGAAAGGGTTCCGGGCATTTTTAGGGTTCTACAAGGGCTTCAAAACGAAGTCCTGAAAAGGTTCTGTAAAACGGTTTAGGGTTTAGGGCTTAGGGTTAAGATGGCTTAGAATGGTTTCGTCTCGAGGTTTGCCAGGCCGCAAAGGATTCTCATGGGGCTTTAACCGGCTTAAAAAAGCATCAACGAACTTGATAGATCTTGATAACTGACACAGTGTCGATGTCTATGCGGGTGCTGAGGAAGAAGGTGATGAAGATGGCGATGGCTGTTATGGTGCTGAAAATGGCTCCCAAGCCCCATTCGTGTCTTTACGGCCCCTCTACGAATTGCTCTCTGTTCTGATGCAGCCTGCTACTACCGAAGTGTGCCATGCGGAGCACAACTTCTCCAACCCCGACCGCGCAATGGCCAAAAACCCGAAACCCTAAACCCTAAACCCTAAACTCTAAACCCTAAACCCTAAACCCCAATACACTCATGCACTTCGGGCTCCGGCGTGTTGTCAAAGGGCATGTAATTCGCCTGGGATCGTCCAGCGATTGCAGTGGAAGCTCCGTACTACAAGCAACTAGCGGGGCCCTAAGCCCTAAGCCCTAAACCTGAAGCCCTAAAATCCTAAAACCCTAAACCCTAAAACCCTCAATGGCAATCGGCCTGACAAACATTCCCACACCCTAAACCCTAAACCCTCTAGTGTGACCTCAGCCTCAAGCGTTTAACACTATTTGCCTCTTAGCATCTGGAGAGTTTAGGGCCTTCGGGCTCTTCGGGTTTATAGGGGTTTAGGGTTTAGGGATTTAGGGGCTCTTAGGGTTTAGGGTTTAATTAGGGTTTATAGGAGTTTAGGGCTCTTAGGGTTTAGGGTTTAGGGTTTATAGGAGTATTTAGGGCTTGGGGCTACAAGGCTGGTGGTGGGGGGAAGGGCCATGAGCCAGAGTCGATAACCGAACTGGAGATCCTTGCAACTCCTTGGAGGCTCCTAGGGTTTAGGGTTCAGGGTTTTAGGGTTTAGGGTTTTAGGGTTTAGGGTTTAGGGTTTAGGGTTGGAGGTTCATGGGTAGTTATAAGTAGGGTTATAAATCTCCTAATATGGGTTATAGCTATAGCTACCCTACTGAGAACCCCACTTATAACCACCCATGAACCTGCAACTAGTACTGCAGCGCTGTGGCCTAGGAGAGGTGCAGGATCACGGGAATGAAGCAAACAAACATTTTACCGTCCCGTGAGCCGCATAAAAGCACAACAACCTCCTAAATGCTAAGGAAATTCTTTTTGCTAAACCCATAGTTAAAGGAAACTACAGGTGGGAACTTTAGGGTATATAGAGCTTCTATCAGGCTTCTATAAGGTACATAGACCTTCTATAAGGCTCCTATAACGGTAGTTACCTGAAAATGTCCTAGACATAGAAGAGCGACAGCGCGGGTCTCAGGGCTTCATGATATAGCTGGCTGCTGGACCCTAAAAAATCTAAACCCTGACCCGAACCTGAACTCATAGGGCTTGGGGTTTGGCATAGGGGTGAGGGTTTGGGGCTCAGGCTTTAGCTTAGTCATAAGTCCCTTAATGTGGGGTGATAACTATAGTTATCCTACTTACAACCCCACTTGTATTGACCCATGAACCTCCAAGTAGGACCTTCGATTGAAGTTAGCGTGCGTTCTTCCCTAAACCCTAAACCCTAAACTCTTGCGGGAGAGTGGAGGGGTTAGTGTCTTCGACTCAGAAGTTTGTAATCGAAGGAATCTTACACAGCTCGAATAAGATAAAAAGAAGGGGGCCTTAATCATTACATATATCATTCTGGGGGTTCCTTATCAAATGTATACTACAAAATACCCTCAAAACCCTATTCTAATTATTAAGGCCCCTATATTACCCTAGTTTTCAAAACTCCCAAAATCGGCGACGCCAAGAGGGTTTTTATAAAAACCCTCTTCGCAAAGCTCCCAAAATCGGCGACACCAAGTGGCATTTCGTGCGAAGGCACCGAACCACAGCGGTTCCCCGGCCGTGGCGCGCGTGCCGTTAGAGGCTCTCCTGAGCTCGGCCGAGGGCTAAGAAGTTACGGTTTAGGGCTTGGGATTCAGAGGTTTAAACCGCCAGGGAAATAAAAGGTTAAACTTTCAGATTACTACTAAGTTATAAGAACCCAAAAAGTTTATAGGTTGGGTATTGGGGAACCAGGGTTTTTAGGGTTTGGAATTCAGGGGTTTAGGGTTTAGGATTTAGGGGTTTTGGGGTTTAGGGTCTAGGAATTATAAAGGTTTAGGGTTTGGGGTTCATTCAGGGTTTAGGTTTTCAGGGGTTTAGGGTTTAGGATTTAGGGGTTTTGGGGTTTAGGGTCTAGGAATTTTAAAAGTTTAGGGTTTGGGGTTCAGGGTTTAGGATTCAGGGGTTTAGGGTTTAGGAGGTTCTAGGAATTATAAAGGTTTAGGGTTTAGGGTTCAGGGTTTAGGTTTTCAGGGTTTAGGAATTAGGGGTTTTGGGGTTTAGGGTCTAGGAATTATAAAGGTTCAGGGTTTAGGGTTCAGGGTTTAGGATTCAGGGTTTAGGGTTCAGGATTTACGGTTTAGTGTTCAGGGTTTAGGATTTATTTTCCGGTTTAAGGGGTTGGATTTTGGAAATTCTGCCTGGGGGATTCGAACCGAAGGTTTGCAGTTCATCACTTGAAGCGAACCTGTGGGTTGAGCCTGCAATCTGCTTTTAAGGTTTAGGGTTTAGAGGTTTAGGGGTTTACGGGTTTAGGGTTTGCACAGACGCAATGCACACATACCCTCATAGCAGCGCATTTCTTTACTCTGCACCCCCCAAATCTTCAAGTCTTCGAACCCTAACCCTTAGCATCAACATAGCCCAGAAAACCCTCATTAATATGGTCTTTGGGCCCACAAGCCTTAAAATAAGAGTCCTTGGAGGGTAAGGGTAAACTTGCAATTAATCCATTTCTAAACACCTGCACAAATCTCCACATCCCATGAGCTCCATTTGTCGCAGAATCCCTACACCCCTGAACCCTTCATCTCTCAACCCAAAGCTTAAATCCCTAAACCCTGAACCCCGGAATCTCTAAACTCGTAAATCCGGATCTCCTGCTATGCTCGCAACCCGGCGCATGAACCTTAGGCCTCACTCCTGTTGATGATATAAATTCTGCATTACCTTAAGGACCCTAAACTATGGGAAGTGCGGTATATTCCTTCTTAAGGATAATGCAGGATTTATATCATCAACCGTACCCACAGGCCCTTAAGTAGTTCCTTTGGGGGTTCATATATAGAATCCTAAAAGGGAACCCCACAAGGGAACTACTATGGGGCCTATGGGTAGGGCTTACCGGGTTTAGGGTTTATAGGCCCTCCAGCTCCGAAACACTCACGCCGAACCCGCATTTTGCAGTCGCAGGGTCGTGGCATCCTTTCCTGGCTGTAGCAAGGTCCCCAGGTTACGGCTTTAGGGGTTTAGGGTTTAGGGGGTTAAGGTTTACGGGTTTAGAGGTTTAGGGGTTTCGGGTTTAGGATTTAGGGGTTTAGGGGTTTAGGGGTTTAGAATTTAGGACTGGTTTGAGGATCTACAGTTGGGACTGTGAGGACTTGGTGCATAGTCGATGCTACGGAACCGTACGTAACAAGACGTCGAGTCTGCTAGACATGGTCTCAAAAGATGAAAAGTAATGGTATAGTATGACCTTGCCTATAGTCTCCAATGTAGTTCCTTTGTTTGGTCAACTAGTCTTAAGGTTAGCATCCTATGAAATGAAATATGGTTAACCAAAAAAAGGAACCACAATGGAGACTAGAGGTATAGTCCCGTAAATCCGATCCGGATGGTTCTAGCCGCTCCACTGTTTAGGGTCTTGCAAGGCACCGACTTCTTCCGTCAGGAAGCAGGGTGTCTGCTGCTTTGAGAGCGACCGATTCCACGGGAGCCGGCTTTTTGGGGCTACGGTCCACGCAATTCCTCAAGTCAAAGATATTTGGCTCTCTGGGTACATGGTTTCCCTATTCCATCGACAGCACCCAGGCATGGGAGGAGGTTCCTGATGGTGCCGCCCCGCTGAAACAAGCAGCTGCTTTTTTTGCAGGGGATGCGACTATGACGTGTAACCCCCACACCCTAAACCCTACATCACCATCGGGTGGCCCAAGCCAGGATATAGTATTACAGAAGTGGCAGACTTCTTGCAACTTTGAGCCGTGAAGACCGCAGGTCTTAAGTCCCTGCACCCAGTGAGCTGGAGCTGAACAAAGCTATCAGGGCTTTAGGGTTTAGGGTTTAGGGCTTCAAAGGTTTAGGGCTTCAAAGGTTTAAAGGGTTTAGAACCAACAATAAGACTTCTGGAGCATGAGCTGCCGCTGCTCCCTAAGAGGCTCGTTTAGGGTTCCACGAAGCGACCTCAAGGGCGTCTTAAAATCCGGTGATGTCGCGGCTGGCGGTTGAGGGCTTAGCTGGGGCTTTTGAACCCTTGGCATACAATGCCCTAAGGGCCCACGTACTCATAGCGTATATACATTTGCCTTAATAGTATGGTTTCTATTTAGGCACTTTAGGGTCTAAGTCTATACTATATGGGTAGATGGACCCTTAAAGATCAACGATGAAAAGCGCGGGGGTCAACAGCAAACTCGAAACCCTGCACGTTTTGCTTCCAGCCTGTTCCCCACAGAGGCCGTCGGGGTGCAGCCAAGCACCTGAGAACCACTCACGTGCAATACCGGTAAACCAAGAACCCGAAAGGCCGAATCCTAAATCCCGTAATGTAGGGGCCTTAATCCTTAATAATTGGAATAAGGGCCCATTATAGTATAGTGATAATAAGGAACCCCCAGAATAACATAGATAATTATTTAGGCCCCTATATTACCTAAACCTGACTCCCTTACCTTGAAGTCCTCTCTTTCTTCAGGCCACGAAGTGAAATCCCTGCTACTTGCACACTCATATGGGTAGTTATCAAAATTATGGTCCCTTTTGGGGTACCCTAAATAATAGGTGCCGTATTATAATAAGGACCCAAAAAGGGACCATAATTTTGACAACCACCCATATGACACA